CTTTCCCTAAGAATAATCCTGAGGTAACTGCACCCCAAATGACACCTTTATTGCAGCCCAAGTGACATCTAAGCCACAGGACTCAGCTGTGGCTGTGACTCACAGGGCAGTAAAGAGTTTGTTGCTGTTTTTCCAGCCAGAAGATAGTAATTTGAAAAGAGAGTCATTTGTATGAACTGCCACAGAACGTTATGTAAACAGTGATATTGCAGAAAAATGGAAGAACCAGAATTTTATACTAAACAAATAACCCATAGTTACAAATCCTTTTCTAATGGAAATATCTGACGTGGTTAATATATTTTCTTGGAATGCAATATAGCAAAATGGACAGCAGCCTATTAAAAACAGTAAACTTTTATACTGTGTTAATCTCATTCAGAGTTAGAAGAATGTTCAAGATCAAGGTATACATCTGAATCTCTTTGAATACTACACTCAATTGTGTTCAATTTTGCTTTTGCAATAAGTCAAAAAATACACACAAATGTTACAAAATGAATTACCTGCTGTTCTCCATCAAACTTCTCTACAATATCTGAAGATAAGCTGTATGTTCTGTGCAGAAGGGTCTTCACACTGCAGTGCTTATGAAATTTCCAGGGTAGTATTTTTTGTCACATTCTGGTCTCTTTTTCAAGGAAGAATATATTTCAAAAACCTAAAATGGTATCATAAAAAGAAACTGTTACAGTATCACAAAGAAGTATGTTTATATAAGAATAAAAGTTCTGAACAGCCAGTATTAATTCATTTATATATATTCATTTGCATTACAGATTGCTATAAACATCACGCAGGGAGGTTTTTCTCTATAAAGGCAGATCATCTTGTGGTCAGCAGGTGGCATGGTGATTAAGGTGTTGGACTCCCACATGGCTGATTGTAGTTTGCATCTAGGACTTGGCAGCTTTCTTTCTTGCTTTCTTTCTCTTTGTCTCTCTCTGGTGAGTGCACATGCCCTATAGCAAATTAAAATAAATAAAATAAATAATTTTTTTTAAAAAAGTAAATTAGGTATTGATTGGAAAGTTCTTGGTTGCAATGATCAGCTATGGAAACTAAGATATGAAGGAGCCATACAGAATAAAAGTGCCTTTCAAAATATTTTAGGCAAAACAAAAGATCCTGTGGTTTACCTGCTTGTTCTTTCTTTCCAGTGCAAAGTTCAACACAAATAAAGTTTTGGATTATGTGTTACTTGCCTGTAAATAACAAAAATAACAACAACAACAACAAAACCCTTTATGTACTACTGGTGGACACTGGATCTTATTTTAGAAGCACTGATACTGATTAATTTAGTATTACCTACAGAAATTTATTCCCCTAGCTCAGCAATCAGTCTCATGACTGACAATTCTTGGCTCCTATTACAATCAGAAAATCTCCTCCTCCATTTTTTTTTTTTTAAGATAGGGCCTTGATCTGTCCTTATCCTCCTCCTTCAACTTCCTGGTTGGTACTATGGGTGTCTGCTACCACTCCCAGGTCTTCTCTACAAAGGGTCTCCCAGTATTGTCTAGGGCAGCCTAGAGCTTGCAATCCTTCTGCCTTGGCCTTCTGGGTTGTTGGGATTATGGGTGTACAACATTGTACCTGGCTTTTAGGTTAAACCAAAAAATGCACCATTGCAGCTAAGCCAGGAAACCCTAATTCTTTAGGGTGAATATTACATAACACAATCATATTAATTTATATGAATAGTTTAGTTCAAATGGTTACAACTATGTTTCCCAGCCCAAATTATTCTTTGGGTAAGTAATTTTATATATATATATATATATATATATACACACACACACACACACACACATACATACACACAACATATAAATATTATTCCTATATATACATACATATATATATAGTTATTATTTTTAAAATTTTGCTAGAGGGTATGTTTACTCACCAGAGAAAGACCTGCAGTGCTTATGAAATTTCCAGGGTAGTATTTTTTGTCACATTCTGGTCTCTTTTTCAAGGAAGAATATATTTCAAAAACCTAAAATGGTATCATAAAAAGAAACTGTTACAGTATCACAAAGAAGTATGTTTATATAAGAATAAAAGTTCTGAACAGCCAGTATTAATTCATTTATATATATTCATTTGCATTACAGATTGCTATAAACATCACGCAGGGAGGTTTTTCTCTATAAAGGCAGATCATCTTGTGGTCAGCAGGTGGCATGGTGATTAAGGTGTTGGACTCCCACATGGCTGATTGTAGTTTGCATCTAGGACTTGGCAGCTTTCTTTCTTGCTTTCTTTCTCTTTGTCTCTCTCTGGTGAGTGCACATGCCCTATAGCAAATTAAAATAAATAAAATAAATAATTTTTTTTAAAAAAGTAAATTAGGTATTGATTGGAAAGTTCTTGGTTGCAATGATCAGCTATGGAAACTAAGATATGAAGGAGCCATACAGAATAAAAGTGCCTTTCAAAATATTTTAGGCAAAACAAAAGATCCTGTGGTTTACCTGCTTGTTCTTTCTTTCCAGTGCAAAGTTCAACACAAATAAAGTTTTGGATTATGTGTTACTTGCCTGTAAATAACAAAAATAACAACAACAACAACAAAACCCTTTATGTACTACTGGTGGACACTGGATCTTATTTTAGAAGCACTGATACTGATTAATTTAGTATTACCTACAGAAATTTATTCCCCTAGCTCAGCAATCAGTCTCATGACTGACAATTCTTGGCTCCTATTACAATCAGAAAATCTCCTCCTCCATTTTTTTTTTTTTAAGATAGGGCCTTGATCTGTCCTTATCCTCCTCCTTCAACTTCCTGGTTGGTACTATGGGTGTCTGCTACCACTCCCAGGTCTTCTCTACAAAGGGTCTCCCAGTATTGTCTAGGGCAGCCTAGAGCTTGCAATCCTTCTGCCTTGGCCTTCTGGGTTGTTGGGATTATGGGTGTACAACATTGTACCTGGCTTTTAGGTTAAACCAAAAAATGCACCATTGCAGCTAAGCCAGGAAACCCTAATTCTTTAGGGTGAATATTACATAACACAATCATATTAATTTATATGAATAGTTTAGTTCAAATGGTTACAACTATGTTTCCCAGCCCAAATTATTCTGTGGGTAAGTAATTATATATATATATATATACACACACACACACACACACATACATACACACAATATATAAATATTATTCCTATATATACATACATATATATATAGTTATTATTTTTAAAATTTTGCTAGAGGGTATGTTTACTCACCAGAGAAAGACAGAAATAGAGAGGGAGAGGGAGAAAGCACCCCATATTGGAAAGTCCCCTAATCCTTCTCCTCCATTTTTCCATCCTTTTGGGCTTTTGAACATTCATGCACACACACATGGTGTGTCATGTCTGGGACTCAAACCATGGGGCCTGCCATGTGAGATCTGGGTATTTTAACTAGTAGGCCAAAGAGGTGGCCTGGTAATTGTATCCTTAACCAGGCCTGCCTCATGGGAAACAGTACATAGACATGAAATTTTCTCTTTTCTTCTCTATTCTCAACATTTCCTATTCCCTTTCCTACTTTATTTTTTCTTGTTAGGACATGTTATTATCTACCATAATACATATCTTGTTGATTCAGTTTATTTGTTTTCTGGCTTCCACACTAAATTATACACTTCATGAGGGCATGCATTTCTGATGGTTTTGCCTACTATTGTATCCCCAGTGCCTAGGACAGTCCTAGGAATAAGTATTCAATAAATTAATGTTCAAGGTGCCTCTGTGCTTCTTTAATTGCTGTTTCTATAGCCATTATTCCTGACCCAACTTCTCACTACTGCTAACCCAAGCTGAAACCTCTAAGTAATGCTCTCTCCATATAATAAATAAGTATGTATATCAACTAAAAACTAGCTTTATGTTTATTAGTGAAACATTACACAGTTGTAAGGATTAAGAAAAGGATTCCTAGGGACAAGCAGATGGCATAATGGTTACATCGTTGGATTCCCACATAGTCAACCACAGTTCAAGGCCTAGATCCAGTGGCTTAAGACTCAGGCCGGCTATCCCGTCAGACCGCGCCAGTTTGAATGAAAGCTTCACAAGATGGCAGAGGCCGGGGCCAAGGCGCGCGAGGAGCTTGGTATGTGCCTTGCCTAGTTTCACTTGATACTCTTCAGGAATTATGTAGAAAAGAGAAGCTCACATGTAAATCGATTGGAATCACCAAAAGGAATCTAAACAATTATGAGGTGGAATACTTGTCTGACTACAAGGTAGTAAAGGATATTGTAAAATGGAAAGGATGGCCAGATTCTACAAATACTTGGGAACCTTTGCAAAATCTTAAGTGCCCATTACTGCTTCAGCAATTTTCTAAAGACAAGCATAATTATTTATCTCAGGTAAAGAATGGCAAAGCAATAACTTCAAAAGACAATAACAAAACTCTGAAACGTGCCATTGCTGAGTGCATTGTAAAGAAAGCTAAATAAAGGATAGCTCTGCAGAGATGGCAAGACGAACTCAACAGAAGAAAGAATCATAAAGGAATGCTATTTGCTGAAAATACTGTTGACTTAGAGGGCCCTCCTTCAGACTTCTACTACATTAATGAATACAAACCAGCTCCTGGAATCAGCTTAGTAAATGAAGCTACCTTTGGTTGTTCTTGCACAGATTGCTTCTTTGAGAAATGTTGTCCTGCTGAAGCTGGAGTTCTTTTGGCTTATAATAAAAACCAACAAATTAAAATTCCACCTGGAACCCCCATCTATGAATGTAACTCAAGGTGTCAATGTGGACCTGATTGTCCCAATAGGATTGTACAAAAAGGCACACAGTATTCACTCTGCATTTTTCGAACTAGCAATGGCTGTGGCTGGGGTGTAAAAACCCTTGTGAAGATTAAAAGAATGAGTTTTGTCATGGAATATGTTGGAAAGGTAATTACAAGTGAAGAAGCTGAAAGAAGAGGGCAGTTATATGACAACAAAGGAATCACATATCTCTTTGATCTGGACCATGAATCTGATGAATTCACAGTGGATGCAGCTCGATATGGAAATGTGTCTCATTTTGTGAATCACAGTTGTGACCCAAATCTTCAGGTGTTCAATGTTTTCATTGATAACCTTGATACTCGTCTTCCCCGGATAGCATTATTTTCCACGAGAACCATCAATGCTGGAGAAGAGCTGATTTTGATTATCAAATGAAAGGTTCTGGAGATATATCTTCGGATTCTATTGACCACAGCCCAGCCAAAAAGAGGGTCAGAACAGTATGCAAATGTGGAGCTGTGACTTGCAGAGGTTACCTCAACTGAATTTGCAGAAAACAGAACTGATGAAAATTATAGTTCTATTTTTTCCTAATGTTAACATCTTTAAAGAATAAGTATTTGGGACTCTTTCCATATTATTCAAGGTTATACCTATATGTAAATTTAAGTTTCAAGACACTTGCCAAATGTATTACAGGTATTTTGAAGAGAGGGACACTGGGCCACATAGCCTAATTTGATATATATTTATTTAGTGGTTAAACACCAAAACTATTTACCAGTCAGTACATTCATACTTACAAAATCTGTGAATAAAGAAATGCCTATTTCAGTGTTTGAAAAATGTTAAACCAATAATGCAACAGTTTCTAAGCTCAAACATTCAACTTGCCATACACCTTGAATTCAGAGAAATAGTTAATTCAATTTGGGCAAATAAGTTTTATTTTTGTTACTTTATTGTCATGTCTATTTAATACTCACTGTATTTGTACTTGAGACAAATAGGTGATTCTGAATTTTATAACCTATTTTCTACTTTTTCATTGAAACATTGACATCTTAATGATAGGAAAATTTTTTTTGAGAGGTTTTTTCACTATAGGCCAGGCCAGACGCGTGTGCATCCATGCCCAAAATCCTAGGAGAAGAATGGAGAAGGGACTGTGTGGTGTGGCCATCCCCCCGGGGATTTCTCATTTTCTATCTTTCTGTCTCTCCAGTGAGTGCACGTGCCCTAAAGCAAAAAACTCTCAAAATAAATAAATAAATAAATAAATAAATAAATAAATAATTCCTACTATTTCTGTTGTTAACTCATATTGTTCCAGAGGTACTAGCCAACAAAATTAGATATAAGAAAGAAAAGACAAAATACAAATATTAGAAAAGATGTGGTGAATTGTTAATTGTGGCAGATGACATGGCTGTATACTTACAAAACCCTATAAAACACTAAAATATAGAGAATTCAATAAATTTATAGGTTGCCAGTGGGTTGTTGGAAAAGTTATGACACATTTTCTCATAGAAAACCATGTTACAACTTTTCTGCTGACTTAATAAATATAAAAGTAAACCTTTCTGTATATAATTTAAAATGTCTCAGATAATAGATGAAAATATCCCATTTTCCATATCAGTTCTCAAATATAAAAGATCTAAGTTTACTATGAATAATATGAAGAAAACTTTAAGGTTACTGAATAAATTTAAAATTTTATGTAAGTGAAAAGACAAATTTTGTTCCTCTATGATAAGGACAAAGTATACAAAGATGTAAGTTTTTACCTCATTTACATAATCAAAACATTCCTAACAAGATATAAAGAATAATTTCTTTTGAAATCTGACAAAATAATTCCAAGTTCATATGGAGAAATATATATGGCAAAAGACAAAGGACTTTGAAAAAGAATGATGAGAAGGGACCACCTCCATCAGAGATTGAGATATAATGCTACACTCATTAAGACAACCTGATACTAGTACCTGAATAGGCAACCACATAATGGGATGGGGAGTTCAGAAACAGAAACAGAAATTAATACACATGGAAACACAGAATAAGACTAAGGTGGAGAAAGTTGATTATTCAATAAGTGATGGGAGGACAACAGACTAGAATCTATCTGGAAATCAAAACAAAAGTGGATTCTTACTGTTGTCTTTAAAATAACTATTAGATTAAAAATGTAAAAGAAAAATATCTTAAAAGAAAACAGGGAGTATAGCAAGCTGTAAACCCCAGAACCATAAAGGAAGAAATAGATAAAAATGACTGCATAAAAATTGAAAATTTCAGGGACTGGCCCCATGACTTAGTGGATAAGGGAGGCAGATCCCACATAGATGACTGCTGTTTAAGTCCTGGCCCTGGTGTCTTGAAAAACACTTTGGAGGGACCAGCAGGTGGCGTGGTGGTTAAGGCGCTGGATACTCCCACATGGCCGGCCAGGGTTCAAGTCCTGAATCTGGTGGCTTGCTTTCTCACTTCCTTTCTCTCTCACTCTCACCCTCTGTTTATCTCTGGTCAAATTAAGAAATAAAGTGAATGAATAAATAAGTAAATAAAATAAATAATTAGTTAAAAAAAAAAAAAAGAAAAACACTTTGGGTGCACATGTGTGCATGCCAAAAATCCTGACAGGATGGAGAAAGGGAGAAAGGATTGTGGTGTGACAAGGTTAAATTGCGGGGAGGTGTTTCCCCCATCTATCTCTGTTTGGCAAGCACACATGCTTTCTAGAATTAAAAAAAAAATTAAAAACCTTTATATAACAATTATAAAACTCTGTCAAGTTAAAAGGCATATTTGGCTCGTGTTTAAGGCAGTTAGATCTTATGAAGTTGACTGTGTGGTTCGAGACCCAGATCCAGTGGCTTGAGAAACTCACTGGGTGCATGTACAAATGTGTCCAAAATCCCAAAAGGAGGGAAAGACAGAGAAGGGATTGTGGCATGATTGTTCCTATAGGGGGGGGCTTTCTTGCTAACCCTCTCTGTCTCTTTCTCTGGTGAGTATACATACCATCTACACACACATATAAAAAAGGCATATTACAAAGGCCAGGCCATGACACAGTGGCTCCACAACTGGGGGCACAGGGAAAGATCCTGGATTCACTTCCTGGGACTCCTTGAGCACACTGGGCATATGCGCTCATGATACGGACTGAGACTGGAGATGGATGGTATTATGAAGACCCTAGTTAGGGTGCCTGTTTCTCTCTCTCTCATGGAAGAAACAAAATAAACTTAAAAAGAGGCATATTACAGGGCTGGCTCCATGGACTGGTGGTTAAGACAGTCATATCTTATGCAGTTTGAGAAATACATGTACCCCAAGAGAGAGAGAGAAGAGATTATGGTGTGACCATTCCCCATGAAGGGTGCTTTCTCCTCTCTTTCTCTCTCTCTTTGGTGAGTGCAGGCACCCAGTAGCCAAAAAAAGGGGAAAAATTATTTAAAAAAAAAAGTAATTTTTGATACATGATGGATAACTAATTTCCTTAATTTACAAAGAATTCTTATGTAATCCATTAATAAAATAGGTAAAGATTATCAACACATTTCAGAATAAGCACATTACAGAAACATGTAAGATCAAGAAATATATTTTAAAAATTTCAAGCTTATTCATAGTGAAATGCAAATTAAAAGAATTAGATTTCATTATTAATCTATCAGAATATCAAAAATTAAAGCATCAGAAGAAACATATTATTACAACTATGACTAATAATAACATATTGCATACTTTAAAAAGTGAAAGACTTAAGACTATCTCTGAATGTGTGGCTATATATATGTAAAGAGCTCCAAGACAGAGACCAGCAGATGGCATAATGGTTACTTCGCTGGACTCCCATATAGTCAACTACAGTTTGAGACCCAGACCTAGTGGCTTAGAACTCACACCAGGTGCATGTGCATGCATGCTCAGAGGAGAATAGAGGGGAAAGGACTGTGGTGTGGCCATCCTCCCTGGGGGTGCGGGGGTGATTTCACTTTTTAACTCTCTCTGGCAAGATCACATATCCTATTGCAAAATTCAATGTCCAATCATTATCTTTCATAATGAAGAGTTAAAATCTGAGGCTTTCAGGGCCAGCACATGGTGTGATGGTTACGGTGATGGATTCCCATATATCTGCCAGTGTTTTGATCCTAGACCTGGCAGCCTGAAATTATGTCAGACATGTGTATGTGGATGCCCAAAATCCCAGAAAGAATCCCGGGCAGAATAATAGCTCCCTAAGGATGTCCATGTGCTTGTCCTCAGAACCTACATCACTATATGTAGCAAAGGGAACTTTGCAGATGTCATCAGTTTCAGGATCTAGAGGTGGGATGATTATCCTGATTTAGCCCTGAGGTACTGAATTAAAACTGGAAATCTTGGGCTAAATACATGTACACACACACACACACATACACACACACACACACATCTACATATGTACAGTTATAGATCTATGTGCATATATATGTAAAATGGGTATATTAATATATATAAATGAATATATATTCATATATATATTCATTTATAGATTTATATATAGATTCATTGTATAGATATATAGATATATTGTATATTATATATAGACACATAATATAAATTAATAATATAATATTATAAATGTATCTCTATATCCATATATAGTATATAAAATATATATTATACAATTTAAATATGGATAGATATATCTATATATATTAATAAGCATATATCTATATATGCCTATGCATGTATGAATATATGTGCTTGTGTGTGAATATTTGTTTTCCCTAACTCTGCTCTCTGAGAGGGCTTAGAAGCAATGTCTCCCCAGTAACAATAAACACACTGTACACTATCATCCTAGAAATCAGGGCTGCTTGGAGAAATAGGTGATTCCAAGTCTGGGGTGGGCAAAGTACAAGATTAGGCTAGTATGTTTCAAAAGGACAAAGGAGATAACTTGAAGCTCTCACTGGTTAAATCTAGGATAACTGAAACATCAAAATAAATAAGAAAGATATAAGATTACAACCACTGAATAAAAGAGAAATCCAGGAGTTCATACTGATATACATGAATAAATAAATGAGAAAGGAAGAAAAAATTCCTTATGACAGAATGACAATTAGTAAATGAATAAAGAATGGTGGAAATATGAGGAGGGTCTTCAAAAAGTTAATTGAAAATGTGTATTATGAAAAAAACTATGCATGGATTTATTTATTTATTTTGCATCAAAATAAACTCATACTTTAATTCTTTTTTTTTTTTTTTCAAACTTTTTGAAGTCCCTTCATGATAATCATTATTTAGCAACTGAAACAGGTGGGAGATGTCAATGGATGCTATAGGTCAGTGAATATAAGTTGATAAGGAACAGGATTTGCCACATCAGAGTATCTTTTCCCCCCAAGAAAGGAATCAATTCAAAAGGGAAAATGGTGACTTAGTGGAGAATCCCAGCAAATACCAGCTTGAACTGGCAGTCAAGTTCGCATCACTGCTGGCAGGACAGTGGAACTCATGTGCATCTGTGGGCACCGAGAAGGGCATAGGGTCATTTCTGTGGTTTTCCCGCCAGGAGCACAGCCTGAATCTTGTCATGATGGAAGAAACATCACCTGGACCTAAGTTAAGGGTCTTCCTATAGAACGTAAGGACTGAGCTCTGTTTTTGCTATAGGACACGTGTGCTCACCAGAAAGACAGAGAGAGACAAAGACAGAAAGCAAGAAATCACCTCCCAGGGGGGATGGCCATGCTGCAATCCCTTCTCCTCCATTCTCCTCGGGATCTCGGGCACGCATGCACATGCACCCAGCGTGAGTTTAAGCCACCGGGTCTGGGACTGGAACTGTGGTATGGGAGTTCAGCGATATAGCCAGTATGCTAACTGCTGGTCCCAAGTCTGAGCTCTTTTTTAAATTTTAAATTTTTTTTGCTTTTGCCAGAGGGCACATGCATTTGATGGGAGAGGGACAAAGAAGAAGAGAGGAAAAGTGAGTGTGCATCCCTCACCCATAGGGACATGGTCATACCACAATCCTTTCTTTTACATCTGTCCATCCTTTTGGGATTTATGGTATGCACACATTCCAAGGCACTGAGTCCCGGCCTCAAACTGCACATTTGACCATCTGGAACCCAGCTGCCTTAGCCCCAGGCCACAGACAGCCTGTGCCTGGGCTCTTTAACACAAACTTCTTGACATAAAGTTAAACAGAAAATCGAAGAAATATAAAAGATTTTTCCTTAGCTTGTAAACATGTAGTATATGGGTAAGATGATCAATCCCCTAGGGCTTTCAAATACCCTATTTCAAACATTTTTCTACTTTAAGACTGTGTCCCAATTTTTTGGTTTAGAAATTTGGTTACTCTAAATACTAAAGGAAGAAAATTAAAAATTAATGCTGATTAAGATGAGAGGGAAAGGGCCACCCCTGTCTTAGTGGTTAAAGGAGCTAGATCCCACATGGCTAATCAAATAGTTCAAGTCCTGGCACAAGCGGCTTGAGAAATACACCAGGTGTGTGTGTGTGTGTGTGTGTGTGTGTGTGTGTGTGTGTG